CGTACAATTGACAAACTCACATAGGTTATGTTTACTACTTAAGAACAGCTGATGAGAGGGGTGTTATGTAAACAAACATGTGTACCAACTGTTGGTGATGAAATATTTCATTTGTTGAAAACTCAATATATATATATATAATATAATGATACTATATCTTGAAAACAAGAGCTAATATATAATTTTTATGGTCACTTTCGGTTTTAACACGTGGAAATACATTAAAATCATCTAATTTCAACCCCGAAACAAAAACTTTGTTGTGTTGTGTATTCTAGGAACTAATTAATGACAGTTATACCTGAGTTTAACGTACATTTATACCTGAGTTTAATGACTAGGTCAACTAATTATCTCACAATAAAGTGTGAATGTGATGAAAATTTATGATAATGTATCTTGAGAAACATATATAACATATTGTTGACCAATACTTATTGGTCAACAATATGTTATATTTTAAGGTCAATAAATATAACAGTCTATTTAATAAACATAATAAAATATATTTAATAAATACAAATCAAAGTCACCTTCACAAGAACACACTACGCCTATGCAGATTAGGACGCTTGATAATGAAAAAACCGAATGACTAGTTATGGCATTTTAAGTTATGGCATTTTAAGGACCGATGTTTCAAAGTTTTTAACGAACTGATCCACCTATTCACTCGTACATCATATCGATATTCAGAAACTATCTTACGGAGGGCAAATTTTATGGAATCATCTTACTTTTCAATTATTTACAATGGCGATTCATAGACAATAAAAATGACCCCGGTAAGAATTTAGTTCTAACATTTAACATTGTTGCCGTTAGCTCTCAGTTCAATTTGTATATAAGTTACCTCAATTGAACACTATAGAATAAGATTTGCGAACAGTGTTACCCAATTGCAAATATTGAGAATTTTACCTGGATTTCGATGTTGCCATATTGAAAACACGATATATTATTGAAAGATGTCGAATAAATGACTCAGCATTCTACATAAACTCATTCTATCAGCCAACTGTCCCAAAACAAGCATTAATACCGAAAAAAATGTATTATAAGAGTATGATTTCATTCAGGAAAAATTCATTTGTACCGATACAGGTAGCGTATGGGAACTAGAAAATGCGTTTCTCTGTAAAAATTGTTGTAACTCAAAAGTATGTCATTTGAAATATCCTGCGTTGAACAATACCGAATGCCCAGGAAAGACTCGTCCAAAAAATATCAAATTTCTCACTCATCTCTAGAAGTTTGTTGATGAAAATTTCAGAATATATTGTTAGAAAGTATGTCTGTCTACGTGTTTGAACAGATTTGTGTACTATACGTTCCTTCGGTGCGAAACAAAATAGTTCCGTATATTCGAAATTGAATTATTCAAAATAGTCAAATTTCTCACTTATCAAAAATAGTTTGTTGGCGGAAATTTCAGAGTACATCTTTTTAAAGTATGTCCATCGATAAATGAGAAATTTAACTTTTTTAAAGCCAAAAACTTTCTTTCCCAAAAATTAATCACTCCTAAAAAAAATATAACCCCTTCAATTCAGATATCATACTCTTATTTTACCTGTTTTTCGGTATCAATGCTTGTATAGGGATAGTTGGCAGATAAAATGAGTTTGTGAATGACTTCATTCGACATGTTTCAATTATATATCGTGTTTTTAATATGATAACATCGAAATACAGGTAAAATTCTTAATATTTGCAATTTGGCAACACTGTTCGGCAAATCTCAGTCTGAACCCTGTTCGATAGTCCCTCGTCATAAACTGTGGATGATAAGTTGTGGGTAGTTTTACACTTATGAAAAAGTTTCAGTACATGAGAGTTCCTCCTGTGACAAAACAATGAATTTACTTGATAGCGAATCAGAAATATCTCAACTATTATATTTCAGGTCTTCTTCGTTCTACGCAAAAGCTACAGACAAGTTAATTTTCTTCACGTTTATCACCACGTAGCAATGATTTTATGCTTGTGGATTGGAGCCAGATTTTTCCCCGGAGGAGTCGGAATGTGGCTTGTTATAGTGAATGGTTTCGTACATGTCCTGATGTTCACATATTATTTGCTGACAGCACTTGATAGCAGTTGGAAAAACAGTATTCGTTTGAAGAAAGCCCTGACTCAGATCCAACTGGTGAGTACAACTGATGGTCTTTGAACTGATGAAGTTATAGAAGTGTTTTGAATATGTTGTAAAAATTCATTCGAATATGTAGGATGAAACCCAAGCCCAAAGTCAAAACATGGGTTTCGACCCAAAATAAGTATCAATACTAGTACTAGGCTGATCCACGAATGCATTGCTAGACTCTGCTGTCCAAGACCAGCTTGAGTAAGTGAAGGCGTTAACATATTTTTTTTTAGAAAATGCTAGCTATTGGATCAACAGAAGACTGAATTCACGTATAAAAAAGATGGAAGGGGTTTCCCAAGGTAAACCGTTACAATGTCGATCGCCGACGGGATTCTCGATCTGTATTTCAGTGCAGTTTTCGTTACATTGCAATAGGCTAAAACCCAATTCGTAAACCAACATCAGACAGTGCTATTTCTACCCGCCATACGTTTCATCATTGATGCTAGATTGAGACACACATTGCTGAACTCATGTGTCATCACTGATGAGATTTATATCGGATCTAAACACCACTCTCTGGTCGTTGGGCTCATCTAAAGCAAATTCAAATCCAATATAGAGTGGATGTAAACATTGACATGCCCTACGCACGTGATATTGAAAATCCCAAGAATTGGCCAGGGTCGTATTCAGAACCAACATCCTAAGTATGATATAGCAAATGCTATATCATACTTAGGAAAACTTTTTTATAATAACGAGTGAAATGCACAAGTTTTGCAGTTTAACGGGAGAAATGCAGATAATATGTGTAATATAAAAAGATTTTCATTGGATTTTTCACATCGCACTCAAGCATTATATTCAAAGAGACGTAATTATTTCCTTATTGATAATTTTCATTTTATGTAAAATCAAAAGGAATATTAATCAAAATTATTCAACTGAATGAATTTGTCTCTTCATCAGTAGTGTCATCCTCACCAATCTGAATTATCAGCGGCTCAATTTGTTCCTCTATTATGTTATCAAGCTTCCACATTTTTGTCTCGACTTCCGATATCACATGCCGAACACACTTCTCCCATTTCTCTGCTGTGACTCTTTTCAAAGCCTCATCAAAAAGTACTTTGAGATCTGCAAATTTGAACGTGGTGTTATGTCGTACCAAGAAGGCGAATTCACCAATGAACGCTGCCCTTTCCATCTGACACTGGGCGATCACGTGAACATCACGCTTCGGTTTTGTTTTCTTTTACTCTATCTTGGATTTGGATAGTTGCAGTGAAAGGCAGAGGACGAACTCTGTGGGGCAGTCGATGACGAATTTTGCTGTATCGAATCACCTTGAAACGCCCCGTTGATTTTGTTAGTCGTTGATTGAGTCTTTTGTCAACTTTACTTACTCATTATTTTCCTTCAGCAAGGCATTTGTGGTTCAGCCTAACACCAGTGAGGATATCATTAGCAGGTATGGCTACACCACTATCTGAAAATGGATCACAAATGCTTTTTCATTGTGCTCTGGTCCCATATGATTGCCTTGCAAAAAAAAACTACTGTAATGGAATGATCGATATTACTTGCAATATGCAGACTTTGATTACAAGTGATATTTGTATCTAAAGGGTGGCCCATGAAATCTAAACGAACCAATTTCTCACACACTCAACTTTGTTAATTTCTTAATTGAATAAAACTGGCCGATGCTTGATGAAGATCCGTATTAAAACTCTTCAATATAGTTTATTGTATGATTTTCACTATGAAGTGTTTTACAATAGCTTTCTCAAGCGTTAATGATGATTATTAACGCAAAACACGTGTTACGGATTTTGTAAAAGCCTTTATAGTTGAAATCATACAATGAACTGTATTAATAAGTTGTGTTACTTTCTGTTCTTCGGCAAAGTATGATGTAACTGTTAATGCTTCAATTGAATCAGGGAGCAAGTGATACCACGTTCGAAAAACTATTGATTTAATTTTCATCGCTACCATTTTTTCGGATTCCATGCAGTAGACGTCCAGAAATTATATATCATCAGTTGGGACTTCCGTTGTGTAATATAATATGAACTGATTTGAAACCCCCGAAAGAATATGTGAAAAATTGAAAAGAATAATCGAAAAATAATTTTAATAAACAAGAAACTGAAATTACAAAGAAATAACATACAAGCAACAACCAAAAAAAATTGAAATATTAATACAAGCTGAAAATTAAAAAATTGGAAAATATTATTAACAAAAAATGAAAATTAAAAGATTCCAAACCAAGTTACGTCAGGACGTTTCGATTGTTAGTATCCACAATCGTCTTCAGGTGATAACTGGTTAGTTTAAGGTCAGGTGTTTATTTACTACATACAGAATTGTCTATTTTTATTCAGCAATTATATATAAACAGATTGATCACATCAACTGATTCTTACTGACAAATAACTATTTATTCAAACTCATATTCGATGGTCAATATTTGCTTTTAATGATTCCAGAGATCTTTTTTTCGACTTCACGTGATATTGATGTTATATATTTGTTTCAGATCCAGTTCACAATATTCATCATAATATTTGGAAGGACGCTAGTTGATCCCAGTTGTGAATATCCTAAACTTCCAGGGTATTTATTGGTGCCTCAAAACTGTTTCATGCTGTTTCTTTTTGGCGATTTCTATGTGAAAGAATATATCTTCAAGAAAGAAAAAAACAATTAGGAATAAGGAATATACTTTCTCATTTTATATATTGCATTCTTGATCAAATTTGGTTTTCTTAGAAAATAAACTTATTTATTTTTTCTCTTTGGATATGAAAAATAAAGAGCATGTAACATTCATACAGATTGGACGACATAGAGAAAATATGAAGCATCCTTATCAAAAAATAGAAAAGTAATAACAGTATTTGGACTAAAATCACTGAAAGTGCCACACTGACAATGCCCAACTTTACCAGTTCCATATAGTATATTGTGTAACAAGTGCGTGAAATCGACTTTTTTACACAAGCGTGGAATTTGCGACACGAGCCCTCAGGCGAGTGTCGCAAACAACGCGAGTATAAAAAAGTCTTCACGCACATGNACACGCTCAATGATTTTTGGGGTAATAAAGTCTTACTAGCCTCATTGGCTGCATCCATAACATCCGGCGGGGTACTTCGTATATCTGAATGATCAGAATCCATTATAATATAATGTTAAAATATTAATAATTAACTCTCAACAATGAGCTCACAACAATAATGATCAAGCTATTTTGACAGTTTATTTATGATTTATTGCTGCTCTTAAACAAAAGATGCACTAAGGCCGCCTATCAGCGAAATATTCATGTATTAGGTCTTATGGACAGACTACAATGTATTTCTTATGAGTATATTTCACGCACTGGTAATAAAAACACTTGAATGTACCATGTTATTCTTATGGGTTTATTTCACGCCCTAGGGCGTAAAAATAATTTCACGCACAAGGGCGTGAAATTACATTTTACGATTCGTGAACGGTGTGTGAAAGTACTATTTCACGTACGGGAGTAGAAAAAATTGGTTAAGGCTTTCGCGGCCAGAACCAGATTTTCAGTGTTACGCTCTTCTTTCGGGTTTCAAGGCCGTCATGGTTTGGAACTGGAACAGGATACAGTTCCAATCCACGACGGCCTTCAAACCCGAATGAAGATCGTAACACTTTACCAGTGGCGAATGATGCATGCATTCTTATTAAAAATGATGTTGAGGCCTTCCCAAAAGCTACCAATATCCTGATAAGTCAAAATTCATGGTATTTGGAAGTAGATATCAGTGTCAAAAAGTGGAGTACTCTATCAATTTAACGGTAAATAATAAGATGCTGGAAATGGTAAGGGAAACAAGAAACCTAGGAGTAATTATGGACCCTGACTTGAGATTTGAAAAAATATATAAATAGACAATTACAAGGAGCGTACTGTAATCTGAAAATGATATTCGATAATCGACATCGTATACATGTTGAAAGATAATTATGTGAAACCTAGTTTTATCAGCCCTTAATTATGCTGACTTTCTCTATGGCCCTAATTTAACAACACTTTATAATAAAAAGATGCAGAAACTTCGACACTCATGTCTGAGATTGATTCACAGTAGTAGAAGATGACTTCTTTGATTGATGACTTGTTTATTTTTGTGGAAATTCATGTTCACTGAGGATACGGTATAAAACACACTTTTGTCTATTTGTAATGTGTAACATCCGTTGTCGTAGATTGAAACGGGTTACTTTGTTACTTAGGAATTAAATTATGGGCTGCCGGAACTCAGCGGAGAGGGATGGTGGGTAAATATAAGTCCACTTAGAGGATAAGTGTATTGTTTCTTTAAACACGCCAAACTGATGGTGATTATAGGCTTATGGCCCAGAAGTATACTTTTGGGTTCACAGATGTAGATGTAAGCAACTTATGATTAAACTTAAGGGATGATAAATGCTTGGTTCATTCTATAATTCGCAATTTGTGCCGCAATGTTGATTCGAGGTCGTGCGGAAGGGTGTAATACATAACAGGAAAGACCTTACATGCGTGTAAGGGAATGTAGTCTCCAGCAGCACGATCCAACCCCAGTACGCAGTCCCCTCAGGCAGTGATCTTTCCCATGCAGATAACTTGCTCCTCGGAAGACCGTACTCAGAGATATAACGGGTGTAGTGCGAGAGATACACCAGGATATAGTTCACAATATCGACTTGAGGTGGTAATAAGAAGGCCTAAAATTAGCTTAAGGTTCAGAAGGGTATTTTCGGGAAATGGGTTCTTACCGCAGTTATTGTGTGGCCTGAAGATTGGAGTTTGACAAGAGAACGGGTACTTAAAATCCCCAATGCTGTGGGTGAGTTATTCCTTTAGATAACCGAAATATATTCATTCCCGTATTGAATATTTTGGTCTCTTCAAATCCACAATGTGACGAGCTCAAAATACTTGCTCCATAGAAGATAACCNAACAGAAACAGTAATACGGAATACGCATGCGTCAGATTGATGGTTAGAAGATAATCCTCAAACCATTCTGATAGATTTCGAACAGGTTTGAATCTTGGATGGAACAGAAAACTGATAGTTTACTAATGGTTGGAAACTCACGTTGGAACGCAATCACATTACTGCGCAGAATCCTGACTGTCAGAAACTGTTTCTGACTCTGGTTGGAACGAACCTATAGTGTATCCTCAGTGACTAGAAGAGACAAGGAGTTTCTCATTATTCAAAAGAAATCGGGTGGTTGAATAGAAGAAAACTTCATGCTCTTATTTTGTTCCATGTCATGATGAAACAAATTCCTTTTGATTCATATAAGAAAATAACTTGCCGTTCAGACGTACATAATTTGAATATCAGAAATGCATGTCTTCTGATTGTACCTTCCTTTAAAACGGAATACTCCAGACGGTCATTTGGCCACCAAATATATTCTCTGTGCAGTTGGTTCTGAAGATGAGAACACAAGATGTTTTAAAAAATTCAGACAATTTAACGAAGAACTTTTTTTTGTGAAAGAAAGTTTTTGGCTTTCTACTACTCCATCTTGTGCCAAAAACTTTCTTTCCCAAAAAATTATTCACTCCTAAAAATATAACCCCTTCAATTCAAACGAAGAACATCTTCTTGAATCTCAAATCTTATGAGACATTTTTTTCCTGGTCATCACCAGATATTTCTTCGGCGCCAGCTTCCCAGGGTCGCCCAAGGTGATCCTGTCAAGTTTACATCCTTTGATTCCATCCCATCTCTTTAAGGATTGAGCATGGGTGTAACATTTGACTAGTTCCGCAATTGTCGAAGTCATCAGGCCGTGGGTGCCACTGGGTCCTGAAATTCTTAGTCCAGCCGCTTCCTTGGCTAAAGAGTCGGCAATGCGATTACCTTTACTC